AAGGTGGACAGGCAGGTGAGCGCAGGCAGGAGGGCTGAGCGGTGGATCGTTCCGAGATCCCTCTCGGGTTCCTGGTTGCGTTCTGACGGGGATCCAAGGTCTGTGATTCCAGGCTGGGTTTCAGGGTCAGAGTCCAAAGTTCTGCAAAGAAGGTGCAAAAGCAGAGTTTAGACTAAGGTTTGAGTCGCAGGAACAGGACAAGGTTTGGTCTGTACCAACACTGAGGCGTTAACAAACTGACGCCCACCTCCTGGTTCCAGCTCCTTAAGAAGGATAGTAAGCAGCTCAGATGTAGTGCACCTGCCCGTCCATCCCTGCTGAGGAGAGAGAGAGAAAAAGCCTGGCCTGGATCCAGGGACCGGAGTATGACATATATACATTCAAAAGCACTTGAGTATTCAAAAATACTAATTATATTATCTTATATCAGTACATTTCTGAATAATTTTCAGTGTATTTTTAAAGAACCTTGTAACTATCAAAAACCACCTAATGTATTGATGCATAGAACCACCTGCTACAGATTCAATACCACCTGTAAAGAAACTTTAGCATAAAAATGCCACAAAAAAACAAGGGCAGCCATGTTGATTAGTGTTTCTTATTTAAAGCAAACCAAAAATAATTCAGGAGAGTCTTGATTCTCTTCAAACTCTCACCATGGAATAAAGGTTTAAGGTTGAATCTATTACCACAAATAAACCACAACTCTGCTTTAAGACTAATCCTACTGAACAACTTGGTCAAATGGCAACAGCTAACGCCTTTGTAAAATTTTCAAAATAAAAATAATATCTGCCCTGAGTTTCTCACATGTGTAGAATGTCCTTAAATCTCTAAAACAGTGGAGTCCAAATTCAGTCATAAGGGCTGTTATCTTGCATGTTGAAATTTCTATGCAAAAAAGAAAAACAGCAACAGTGGATTACAAAGCTAAGCTGAGCCAGAAGGAACTAGCAGCATCCGGATAATTAAAAAAAAATTACTCAAGTAAAGATACTCAAAATAAGTCCTTAAGTACAGCAGTCAAGTACATTTACGGTACTTTGTTACTTCGCACCACTGGCTCTATCTGGGATCAATGGTATTACCATGGTGGATTAAATCATGTATTAAATTTATTCTTTTATAACTTCAGGAGTTTTTGAAAGCTGAAAATGTAAAGTTTTTCAGGGTTGATCATCAATAGGATTAACATTTTATTATTAGAATCTGAATTACTTTAGTTTTACATGATGATGATGTCAGATTTTGAAGTACCCATGACTGATTTCTCTATTTAATAAGAAAAAGATGTAATTTTATTATGCTGCTGTATTTAAAGCAGTTAATCGTTATTTCTGTAATGCGGCACTAATACACACCTGTCGTGCTGCACATTATTTTTGTTTTTGTATTTACTAGATTAGCTGTGGATATATAATTATGGAGAAATGCAACTATGCACACCAAACTAAACAATAATGTATAAATAAGGAGAAACCTTTGTCAATGAATTATTGTAGATTTGTATTTCTTTAACCATAGTTTTCAGGCAGATAAGACAGGAGACCTGGATGTGGTGGAGTTATTCAAACTGGAACATTATGTGGCTGTAATCAGGAGAGAATATGTGGAAAAATATGAGAGCAGGACTCCATCCGTTGTCACACAGCGCCAGATGAAAAATGCTGTTATTTCCCACGGTATGATGTAACAAATTGATATTTTATACATATTTGCAGCAAATGTGTTTTTTTTCCTAATTTCACAGATTTCCGAAGAAAAAATATTTTTGCAATTGTGCTGCTTCACCTACTGTTTGTACATATTTTTCAGTAATATTATTGTAATCTAATTCCAGTTACATCAGTATTTTTTCTTTGTAAGGAAAACCTTTTTGTTTCTTAATCTGTTTATTGGACTAATTTCTAGTTTCTAATTTGCAGATTTTAATTTAGATGAGGAAACCTTCAGAGCGCTTTGGTTTGAATACGGCTCCAACGATGGAATTGATTATGACAGTTATGTTGCAGCCCTGACTAAACTTAAAATACTAAAAGGTACTTTTACTCTTGTCTGTTGCATCACTTGGTATTCTTTATGTCAAAACTTTATTAAATACTTTTGGAGTTGTGTTTTCTATAGTTTCATAAACTCCATGATGGTAAATATATATTAAAGATTTTTCCTAGGTGAAAGTTTTAGACAAATTTTAAGGATGTGGTTCTTGTCACAGATCGCTTTCAGGCTCATCTGCTAAATCTGTCATGTGACTGCAGGATTGCAAGCTTCTCCTTCAATCAGGTGAGATGACAAGTTTTTAAATCCAATATCAGTAATACCTTTTACATTTTTAAGGGGAAAAATGGCTGTCAACTATGCTAAATCATATTAGAAATTATAATTGTGACACCTGCTGTCCTCTGGGGGGTATTGCATTAACATCAAAGTGCAAAAAAGGAGTGCTTGCATAACCCATTATGTTTTGATTAAAATCTAACATTTTGTTTTCTCTTTCAGTTCTTGAAATCAGCCATAGTATGAGGATCAGCAGAACTCGGCGAACTTCACAGCAATCAAATAATGCATTGCAGTCCTAAACTCTGCTAGATGATTAATGATGTTTAAGGTCAGATCTCAAATGTATATGGAAGAGGATTAGGGCCACTGTAAAAATAAAAGAAAGTTAACTGATTTTTAAATATTATTTCAGTTTAATTTAGGGGGGAAAAGTCAGAATTCTGACTTTTTTCTCAGAATTATGACTTTATTCTTATAATTCTGACTTTTTTCTCAAGATTCTGACTTTAATCTCAGAATTCTGACTGAATTCTAACAGCTAACAAACATGTTAGCATTGAGCTAAAATAGCTCTCTTGTTTTAATCACCTTCAGCTCTTCCATTATTAAAATAGCATCACCGGGGACCCCTTGGGCATGTAAAAAGTCACCTAATTCCATAATTTTCCATCAATGTGTTACTGGCCCTCCCAAACAACTCACATCTTTGTCAGTGAAGCTGAGAACTCCCACGTCTCTTCCTACAGGGTGCCCATCTACATTAAGATCCAAAATTGTGAGATTAAAGTCAGAAATCTGAGAAAAAAGTCAGAATTCTGACTTTTTTCTCATATTAAACTAAAATAATATGTAAAAATCGGTTAACTTTTTTTTCAGTGGCCCTAATCCTCTTCCATACATAGAAAAAAGAACAGCATCGGGGACGATGCTTGCTGTGTAAAGACATGTTAATCAATGAAGAGGCCAGTATTAATGTTATACTAATTATAAGATTAGATGAAAGAAGGGAAATATGATAATAAAGGAATCAACTTTTGTGTTGAATCTTTTTTTTTATTGTAAGAAAAATGTGTTCTATGTTGAAAAAAAATAAAAATCCCTAAAAAAGAGGGGCTGCTTGGGACCAGGACCATTTTTAAAATTTCAGGTCAGGAACAAAATCATTCTGAGGGATGTAAATGGCCTAGATAGGATAGCCGTGATCGGAACTATATATGGTTGCAAACTGGTGGAAGAATTTTCAATCAAAGAGAAAAAAAAACAACATGGACCTGTTGAAGTTCTTTTTCAATAAAAATCTTTAATTTTTTTTGATAAGTAAATCTCTGGACCGTCTTTAATCGCTTGTTTTCTGCAATTTGTACATCAATTCACAGATCTAAAGCCAACAGATTATTTTAACAGTAAATTGCTTTGTTTAAACAAACAAAATATTTTGTCTGAAAGAAAAACATTTAAATGATGAACCTTTTATCCAGTTCATTATTATTTTCATGTTTCTGTAACTTTCATGCAAGCAGCACTGCCACAAAACACTAAAATAAAATCTAAACATGTTCAATCTAGTTTAGGATTATTTTCACCATGACAGCTATGTCCAAATATGGTTGCCAGTTACATATATTATAATTGATACACATTAATAATAAAGCAGTTTTACATTCATCAAATATTTCTACTTTATATTACAAAATGTGACAAAAAAGTAAATGCGGTTTAAATTACAGAAGCATATTGCATTCACCAAGGAAAAAAAAAGAAATGGGTTTACTTTTCTGAATTAATGAGATAATATTTACAAATATATATAAAAACATTAAATTTCTGAGAATTAACTATTTAAAACACATTTTTAAAAGTTCTGTTTTTCTGAATTAACCCAATGCTGCTGTGATTTTATATCAGATGTTTTGTTACTGTTGGAGATTGCAGATTTCTAAGCAAGAGGCGTCTTTCCGTCAGTGTCAGGTTGTCTGAGAGTTTTTAGAGATGGAAGCTGAAGTGGATTCTTCAAGATTTAATGCAGATCCAAAAAGCAGCAGAAGCAAAAACCAAAAGGGGGGGTGTCAGGGAAAACATACATGAGGAGCAAAGGAATGAACAGAAACCAGCAATGCACAAGAGCTGGGCTAATCAGCAGATGAGGTGCCAGTGTGGATGGAAGAATCTAGAAGAAAGCTAGAGAAGGAGACTGACACAAGGGGGCAACAGAGGGTAAACAAGAAATACATAATTGGGATTAATTAAACTGGTAATTAATCTGTGTTTTGGAGCCTAGGCAGAAGTTCAACTAAAGAAACTAATTGCTCTGCTATATCACCTGTGACTCAATCAGCTTTGAACCACACCTCCACCAAAGCCAATCAGTATCCAAGTCCATCTTTAAAGGCCTCCGATCTGATGGTCTGCTTCTAAGTGCGCAGGTGGCGGATGTGGTGTCTGACTTCATTCGGATGATCCGTTTCAACCAGCTCCAGCTCCTCCTCCATCATTGCAGCTAAAGCATTACCGCTAAAGCATTTCATGTCTCTTCTAACTGGTCTGGCAGAAGACCGCCATGTTGAGCCTGGTTCTGCCAGAGGTTTCTTCTGAACAGGGAGTTTTTCCTCTCCACTGTCGCTCATGCTTGCTCATCATGGACAGGTTCTCTGAACCTGTGTTATCCAAGCTGGACTTCCATCTTCCAGGTCCCTGAGTGAAGCTCTAGTATCAGCTCACTCAGTCCACTGGATCTCCCCATAAAGCTCAGCATAAAGTCTAGCCAGCAGTCTATAGACTGACCAACTTCATCTATCTCCACTCCACCATCAGTTTAAGCCTTATTCTTTGCTCCTGTTCATCCATATCGATAAAAATTAAGCTCTATGTTTTCTGCCGAGGTCTGAGTGCCAAAGCGTAATTGTGTCAATAAATTTCTTCTAATTGTCTTTTCTCTTCATGTGAGTTTTTCAGATTGAATTAGTTATGTAGATGCAATCACTATTATTTTGTCGACTTGCTCACTGGGCACTTCTCATGGCACGGTTGTTTGCCTACAAGCTTTTCTCTTCACTATATAATATTTGCTTACTTTGTTGCTGTGTTCATTCGGAAAAGTTGATATCTATTTTTTTTAAGTATTTTGTTAATTCAGAAAACAGAACATTTATATTTGTAAAAATTATCACGTGAAAGTGTGACAGTGTGGAGTCCTGTCATTATGCCTCGTGCATCCTGGCTAATTAGCAAAGGAATATATATACTTTTCAATATAAGGGAACATGTCTTTCATTATAGACTATGGAATTGAATCCCGCCTGGGCCCTCTGTTACATAATTTGCCACAAAAGCAATATCCTTCCATATTCAATAACGAGCGTGTGACCTTATATGTTCTGCTAAATGCTAAAAAACAAAGATGAATTTGGCGGCTCAGTGGAGATCCTGAAAGCTGGGAACACGGGCTCTGTAAATCTGGTGTGGTACGTCTGAAGGTGGGTGACTCTGCCAGACATCACACCGAAGAAGGTCAAACTGCCACCAGGCCAGTCCAGGTAGACTCCTACTCTGTTTGAAGGAGCTCCTTGGATGGGAGTTATTTTGTTTTCATGCAGGCCAGAGTGACCATCATCAGAGCACAGCAAGCTCCAGGATTCATCATTCCCTCCAAGGCTGCACTCGTCACTTTCTCCTTTCCTTTTGATTTTCTTGTATGTTGCTGAAATGTAAACTCTTCCTCTCCACTCAATCTCCCAGTAACAGCGACTTGTAAGGCCTTCTGTACACAGCAGCTGTTCCAAGACATCAAACCTCTGTGGATGATCAGGATATGGCTGCTTCTCTCCTCCCATCGTCACTTTTCTGTTGTTATCGGACAATATAAGGTTCTTGTGAGCAGTGTTCGGGTCCAGCATGAGTTCACAGGCGTCTGATGGAAAAAAAGCACTTTATTTGTTCAGTCTTTCAATAGATCTCTTGATGCATAGTGAGATATTTTACTTTTAATGAGTCAAATTTGTCTAAAAAGTAAAGCATATATAATTTCAAATAAGAAACAGTGTTTCGATTTGGCTTCAGTTGCCAGATTAAAGTTATCTTTTGAAATATCCACGTTTAAGCAACATGCTTCACCTTTTTTTCCCATCATTGATCTCTCTTCAGTAATCTCACATTTCTGGATCAGTTTTTCACATATAAAGTGTCCAAAATTTAAACAGTGTGTTTTTTATTAGCTGTAAGTAGAAAAAATTCTTAACTATTAAAAATAAACACTTCACACTCATTCCATTAGTAATTAATACGCTTAGCAGAGAAAAACATATTAAAAAAGAAATTAACTTTGAAACAATAATCTTGCTAATTGGATATGAATGTATTTTAAACAATAATGAAATAGAATTAGAGAAAATGATTTAAATAAATGTAATATAAAATTAGAAGTTTTGGTTAATTATAGACTAAAAACTATTGCTATGTTTATTTTTCAGTTCTAAGGAGAAGGGTTTTTGCATAAAACATTTCTGTAAAGATTTTCTTTTATACTCACACTTCATCAGACCAGGTTTTAGGAACTTTGACCCATTCGGCTCGATCCTGAAATAAATCAAAGGTAAAAACTGAGCCAAGTTTAGAGAAGTGATGAAAATAAATATTTTTGTATTTTGTTTTTAAAGCTCTATGTATGCAATAGCGTGTTCTTACCGGAGAGTTTGCAATGCAACCTGTGGGTCCTTTTGTGCTGCAGAAAGATTTTTCACTCCAGATTCTTCTGGATGGTTGTAGCTCACATCCAAGATTTTCAAGTGGTTGGGATTGGACTTTAAAGCGGAAGCCAGTTCTAAACACCCTTCCTTTGTGATGAGGCAGCCTGACAAGCTTTACACAAAAAATACATACATTAGGATTAATGGGTAATATTTTTTGAAGTATATTTTTTAGCACTTAATGTTTTAACTAGGGAACAACTCTGAAAACAACTTATTTTTCAACCAAGCAATCTATGTATCAGGTACAAAAGTATATACATTAGCTTTATATAAAAATAATAATAAACAGCTCATTTGAAACCTCTTAGAAAAACATAGGAAAATACAGACAGTTAAAGCAAGAGTTATATTGGCTCTTTTAAGATAAAAAAAAATGAAACTAACTTTAGTGAAATAAAAAAAAAGAAATGTTTTCAAAGTTTTTTGTTAAAAGGTAGATCCTGACCTGAGAGTTTCCAGCGTGCAGTGAGGAACGCTCAGGCCTTCACAGATCAGCTTCACTCCTGAATCTTTCAGGTCGTTGTTACTGAGATCCAATTCCGTCAGAACTAGACATTTGGACTGGAGAGCAGAGGCTAAACCATCACAGCCAATTTCGGTGAGATTACAGGAACTCATCCTGAAATTATAATATTCAAAATACACATTTTACATTATTAATATATATATATCTACTTTATTGTTGCTGCGCTTTAACTTACTCTGCCCTGGTGGAATTTATGACCACTGTTACAAGGCCCAGTAAAGCCTTGTCTGATTCAAAGTACTTTTTCAGATAAAATGTCTCCAACTTTTGCTCTGATGACAATATAATGTTGACCAATGCTGCCCACTTAGCAGGCGTCAGTTTGTCTGCTGGTAGCCTCCCTGGTCTTAGGTAGGCTTGGATCTCTTCCATTAGTGAACAGTCTTTTAGCTCATTTAGGCAATGAAACAAGTTGTTGTTCTTCAAAATGCAAACGTTCTCTCCAATCTTCTTCTTGATGTACTGGACGGTGTGCTCTATGGAGCTGCTTCCCGTTTCTTTTACTGTAATGAGGCCTTCCAGGAACGTCTGATTGGTTTTCAGTGAGAGACCCACGAGGAACCGAAGGAACAGATCCAGATGTCCATTTGGGCTCTGTAAAGCTTTTTCCACAGCACACTGGTATAAATCCTCAAAGGTGGTAGAAGGTGAAGTGTCTCCTGACAGTAGATTGACTCCAGTGTTGGTGAATGTCAGATAGACATGAAGAGCAGCCAGAAACTCCTGAATGCTCAGGTGGACAAAGCAGAAAACGTTCTCATGAAAGAGCCCTTTCTCCTCCAGAAAGATCTCCGTGAACAATCCTGAATAAACTGAGGCGGCTATGACATCGATGCCACACTCCGTCAGGTCAGATTCATAGAAGAACAGGTTTCCTTTCATTAGTTGATCAAATGCCAGTTTCCCCAGAGACTGAATCACATCCCTGGTCTCCTCAGTCCAGAGAGGATCTGTGTCTGTTCTTTGATCATATTTGAGATTTTTTACTTTGGATAAAACCGCCAGGAAGGAGACGTACATCTCTGTCAGGGACTTGGGTAAGTCTCTTTTCTCCTTGGTTTTAAATGCATCCTCTAGAACGGTAGCCGAGATCCAGCAGAAGACAGGGATGTGACACATGATGAAGATGCTTCTTGATGCTTTGATGTGAGAAATGATCCTCCTGCTCTCCTCTTCTTCACTGTATCTCTTTCTGAAGTACTCCTCCTTCTGAGGGTCGTTGAATCCTCTGACTTCGGTCACCAGGTCAACAAACTCAGGCGGGATCTGATGTGCCGCTGCAGGCCGAGTTGTGATCCAGATGTGAGCTGAGGGAAGTAACTTCCCCCGGATAAGGTTTGTCAGCATAACTTCTAATGATGCGGGTTCTGCAGGATCAGTCAGGATCTCCTCGGTTTTCAGGTTCAGAGGAAGTCGACACTCATCCAGACCATCAAAAATGAACAACACTCTAAAGTCTTCAAAGCTGTTGATTCCTGCTTCTTTGATTTCAGGAAAGAAAAGGTGAATAAGTTCAACCAAACTAAGCTTTTTCCTCATCAATATGTTTAATTCTCTAAAAGTTAATGGAAACATGAACTGGAACTTTTGGTAAATTTTGCCTTCTGCCCAGTCCAATACAAACTTCTTGGTCAAGACTGTTTTCCCAATGCCGGCCACTCCCTCTGTCATCACTGTTCGGATTGGTTTATCTTTCACTGTGGAGGGTTTGAAGATGTCCTCACGTCTAATCGTTATTTCTGGTTTGGTTGGTTTCAAAAACGCTCTTTCAATCAGCTTCACCTCATGTTTACTGTGAACCTCTGCAGGGTTTCCTTCAGTGATATAAAGCTCGGTGTAGATCTGGTTGAGAAGTGTTGGGTTTCCATCTGTGTTTATTCCTTCAAACATGTAGGCAAACCTGCTCTTCAGGTTAGATTTAAGTGTATGCTGACACATGGTTACCACACTCCCTGGAAGACATAAACAAAACGGCAGCTTTTGTAAATTCTTAACATCTAAATGTGTCAAACTTTAACCAAAAAAAGGAAAGTAGAAACAAATATATTAAAATAATTAGAAACCTTTTTTATTTAATTTTGTTGCCCAAAATGACCCCTGTTATAGACTGGCAACCAGTCCAGGATGTACCTGTTATGGTCTGCCCTCCTGACATTTTTGGTTCTGTTTAGTTTTCACTTTGGGTTTTTAGTTAGGCTTAAATGTATGTTATTCTGCTTTTACTGTTAAGGGATGCGTCTTTTTTGAATTACTTCTTCTCCTGTTTGGTGGCGTTTCAGTTATCTCCCATTCAGCATTCCTTAGACTTTGCTCTAGTTTTATCTTGTAATTTATTGTTTACAGTTATCTTTACGTTATATTTCCCAGTTACTCCATTGCCCCTACTTTCACCTCCTCTCCCATTGGTTTTCTTGTTCTTTCTCAGATCATTAGTCCTCTCCGGTGTATATATACACCCCTCCTCTGCAGTTTGTCTTTGCTGGATCATCTTTATTTCATGTCCATATCAGTTGTTGTCAGTCTCGCCCTGTTTACTCTGTTCTGGTTCCCATGTTCCTTGCCAGATTATTTTAGGATTTATACCACAACCCTCAACATAGAACCTACTAGAAACTATCTCTGCTTTTGCCTCTGCAGCTTGGGTCGAGCTACAAACTTCTACACATCCTAACAGGACCCTGTGTTTAGTCCATAGACTGCTGGAGATATGCACCTCAAGATGGATGGATGGATGGATGGATGGATGGATGGATGGATGGATGGATGGATGGATGGATGGATGGATGGATGGATGGATGGATGGATGGATCCCAAGAAAATAGTTTGTGAAATATTGGTAACGCAGTTTTGGAAGCCATTTTTGAAGCAGTTCCTTAGTATTCCTTTAAATCCTTTGTCATTGCATTACCATTACTATCAATAGTATTTTTAAATAGGAAAAAAATATGCTTTCAAAGGTTTTTATAAATAAAATTATTGATGATAGGTATTTATATTTACCCCCTCCCCCATTTACTTTATAGAACTACAGATCTATGCTGTTGTTTCTTTAGGAATTTTAGATCCGTCTGTTAATTATTCAGATTTACTTAAAGCTTAATATCCTACTGAATCTTTTGATAAATGGTTTATTTGCCTATAAGCTTTTGAAATGTACTCTTACTCTTAATATTCCAAGGAAAGGATTCTGGAACCTGGCTCCGCTGAAAATAGCTTCTCTCACAGTCTTCATACCCTGTCTCTACTGCCTTAGAGACAGGATATGAAGCTTGGCCACCAGAGAGGGAGTGGTGCTCCTCTATATCGAGAGGAGTCAGCCAGGTGGTTTGAGCATCTGTTTGGGAAGCCTTGGAACCCCTGTTTGTATTCAGGACATGACGCACCAGAGGGAAGACTGGGATGGTCCAGTAAATGCTGAAGGCATAATGTCTTTCAACTCAACTCGAGGAGTACAATGGTTGGCAAAGCTTGGTATATTCCTGGACATTTAAGTCAATACATGATTTTATTTAGGAGTATCAGAGTAAAGAGGACAAATCATGAAGAATACTCCCACAAAATGGATAGAATCTCATTACAAAAATAGAAAGATTATGGTTAGAAAATGAGAAACACTCATACATATAAACTAAAGTCATCTTACTGTTCAGCAGGACTTGACCAAGATCTTCTTGCTTCATGTTTCTCATAAATTCTAGAGAAATTTCCAAAAACGCCTTCTTCATGTTTTTCCTTTCTTCCTCATCTTCATAAATAACCTCCTCTACCTCTTGGTTCTCAAAGGATTCAGGGCAATCTGAGTTTAAAATCTTATGGTAAATCTTCAGCTCATTCTTGGCAAAATTAATAATATCCTCTTCAAGAATCTGTAAAAAAAAAAAAAAAAAAAAAGATGTATTACATACTGAAATGCACATTAGAGAAACAATATGATCATTTAACCCTCCTGTAAAATCTACACTAGAAACCTGGAAAATAATGTGTTTGGGGATGATTTAGGAAAGATTTCCGGTGGAAATTTGATGTTTAAAGAATAAACTATCTTTCCATAGATGAATGTCAGTTGTGTTAACCAATGTTTTCAAATGTTTAAAATATTTTACAGGATTTTTAACAGGTATCCATTAAAATGTTGTGATGAAAAATAAACTTGGTGATTCTGCTCTAGTTCATGGTTATGCATCCAGACTCTAAGAGCCTCTAATTCTGGATATTTTGAGGAGGTAGCCAAAATGAAACTACATGTAATGGAAAGCAATCAGCCTGTCTCATTGAATCCAGTGACAGATTTACCAACCTGAAATACTGAGCTGAGGGTTGTTTGGTTGGTTTTGAAGTCCTCTGATGGGTTCTGATGATCTCTATGGAGAGATTCATTGTTTAGGTTAAACCATATTTAGTCCTATATACAGAAAACCTATATATTATTCTTTTTTAATAGATAAAGATACAGATAAAACCTACTGTTTGAACCCAGCTGGATAATGGATAGGCTTTATGTTTCCCTGTTCAGACCTAAAAGGAGAGCAGCATATGGAATATTTAGGTAAAGGCACATATAGATATGTTGCTACTACAAGTTATAAATCATAATGGAGTTAAAATAAAAAAGTAAAGTTTAAGAATATGTATCAATCTCTGTTTATCTGTACAGTTTGTTTTAAAAATAATCCTAACATGAGTGTTAAGACATTGATGCTAGTGTGTGTTCATCAGTGGCTAATATAACATGTTTTACACAAAAAAGGGGAAATATGTAATTTATTTGTGATTTAAAGCCTTAAATTCTCCTCCTTGGTACATCTGCACAAAATGACATTTTGAGGAGATTTGGCATCTTTTTAGGAAATCAAATATCTGACATTAAGTGGATTTTGCTGCATAACATGGCAATAATATATGGGTTTATATTGTTTGTAGAGTCAGAAATATTCTCTTATGATAGGCTTTCCAAATTGTGTGTCAACAGTATTTGTGATGAACAGGAAGATGCGCCTGATAAGACCCTGACCAATCGCAATGCAATAGAGATCATATTTGTCATCTAGTCATTATGGAATTTACGTAGGAATCCAAATCAACTTTAAGAGCCAAGTAGTGTGCACAAGCAACATAATTTGACTTTACCTCAATATCAGCTTAATGGATGTGCACAGATAGATGCTAGAGCATAAAGTCCCCTGAAAAAAATTTTTTTTTTTTTTTAAACAGTGCAGCTTTAGTCTGGCCCATTTCTGGATTTAAAAACTTTTACCAAAACCTCTGACTTTTATACTTTTGCATGACAACACCCTTTACTTCTAAACTTTATTAGGGGATGGTTAGAAAATTAAATAATCCAGACAGGTTCCTTTTGCTCTTGGTAAACAGAGTCCTGAAACCACTCAACCATATGGCACAGCTGCAATTGTTATAGAGCAGAAGGGATTTATTCCTTTACAGCACCTGAAAAGTAGCTAAAATTACATGAACAACTTTCTAAGCCTGTTCAAGAAAAGGAGGAAATCACTTCTCACTATTTGTCTGGAAAATACTTTACAGGTAATTTAAACTGACAATCCATACTTTAAGGAGACTTTTGACCTTTTGATTTAAACATCACAAAACTAATAAAAAAGGAAGGTGAAAAATATGTGTAGTTAAAAATTTTAAGTTATCTTACCTATCTGGTGTTGGTTTTATGTCATCATTTTCCTTCACCTCACACCGACATATGAGGAGACCTGAGCATGACACACATTCAGCATACAATTAGCTGGATAATATCATTGCAGGATTTGTTTTTTTCTCACCTTTTCCAGAATTATGATTTGGATTCCGCTGATTTGTGCATAGATTTCGGCAAACATAATTTGTAAACTTTTTTTGTGTGGAGGAAATGCAAATCTGAACATTTACCGCATGCAAAGCTATTTTAAAACTCAAAACTTAACTCTAGCAGCAGTTTTAATGTGTTTTTTGAACTTTTGAACCACTGCACACAAATTTCTGCAGTCATTGTAGTTGCAAAGCATTGGTACAAAGGCATTGGTTCAATGCATTGGCACAATGCCAGATGGTAAAGATAGTTTCTGGATGCACACAAACATATTTGGACAGTCAGAAATAGCAATAGTAGGACAATATTAGAAAAAAAGGTCAGTTTAAATACGTAAATCCACGTTTTAAGCGTGTAATCTGGTGTAAATTTGACTGAAGCTCAATTTCTGTATTCAATTTGCATGTTTTCTAAGCCATAACAAGGCTTTGTTCAGCTACTCTTGGAACTCAATGCTAATCCAGACATTTTGAATTAAAAAATCTTCCTGAATGGGAAGGGAAACGTCTTCAAAGTCCAGTGAATTTTTTTTTTACTTTTTTGTAATCACTTCAAATAATTTGTTTCATCTCCACTACCTTTACTATCTATTAAAGTTAAAAAGATCACTTAAAAGTGATCATTTGATGTAGTTTTATACTATATTTGTTTACAGAGCTAATGTCTTGCATAGCAGACATCTAATAGCTAAAAATATTGATGAGAGGCAGAAAAAAACATTTATGAATGTTGATTGATGACATTAACATCTTGATGCCTGATTTAGTATTACCGGTATATTTATTTGATTTTTTTATTATTTTTATTAGATTATTAGATTTATTAGTATTTTTATTGTAGAAATACCAGCAGAGATTCTACATAAAAAGCATGAAAAAACATGAAAAGGCCCTTACTGTTCAGCAGAGAGTGGACGACCTCCATGTCCTCCATCCTCCTTAGAAACTTCAGAATGATGCTTAGAAAAGCGTCTTTGCTGCTCCTCTTCTCACCTGCATCTCCCCCCTGGCTCTGTCTGGTTTCTTTGTAATTTTGTGAAAGGCTTTGGAACGTCTTCAGCTGTTTTCTTATAAATTCAACAATGTTCTCCTCAAGCATCTGTGACAGAACAATTGAAGGACGTGGATATTATCAAGCTAAATTTCACTTTTTTTTTTCTTAAGCTAAAGTCTTGCCACTATGCAGCCAGAGTGTTTAAGAAAAAAAAGTTTAAAAGGCTGTAAAATTTTCACTAATAAATCCTCTCACAGTTTTAAAACACTCTCCAAAATATCAGATACTCTGAGTATATATATATATATATATACATATATAAAGATAACAGCTTTGATGAGCTTGTTAAATCCTTCTTTTTAGCTAATATTATGATTGCTACTCCTTTCAACAGATGAAGCACAAGTTCTTCTCTTCAAAAAAAGATATTGGCACTGTATGAGCTTTAGGAAACACATCTGATGTTCTATTTCTCTTCTTTTTTACCTCAATAGGCCTTTTCTTGTATTTTACATTCTGTTTCTCGACAGCTTGACTTTTAAATTTCGAAATGCTGTTATTTCCAGACTGTTTACTGTAAACATGTGATGGTAAAATCTGATCATAAATAGTATTTTATATCCATGAAGCATTGATATCTTTTGTTAGGTTTATTCTTTATACATCATGTGCATTCACATCTTGGAGCCGGAATGATAAAGGAGAGCTATGTGTAATCCTGGGGTAAAGATGCAAGATGCATAAAGGTTTAAGGCATGGATGGCGTGTCAGTTTCTGATACGGACAGCTAAGCATGCAAAGCTGATGCAAAACATGGACTCATGAGGTATAAGGAGGAGGAGAGGACCTTTTCCTGGGGTCAATCTTTGCTCAATCTTTGCTGGACGCTCGCTGACGTTTTTTTGAGCCCACAGCTGTGCCAACCCTAAGCAATTTCTCTGTCCTGTAACGACTTAATCTGGAATAAACTCTGTTACGTTTTTTACTCCTGTTTTACAGTCCTTTTTTATATGGATTTACCCAATTTGAGTTAAAAGTAGTAAATAACTTCCTCCCAGGAAAAGAACCGGTAGGGAAGTTCAGAGGCGCCGCCGCCTTCTGGGGGACCTAACTTCCCTATTTAATACTTTATATCACTAAATACAGTAATAGATTATTAAGTGATTAATATGAAGTCAGAGTTCTGCCAAAAGAGCACACATGCAACAAATACTCATCTGAGCAGGTTTATTTAATCCAGACTCACATAAACTAAACTCCAGGCATTTTGAATGTTAAGTGTGCAGATTTTGTATCACAAGGCCTCGATAAAACACACACATACAGTAGATGCATGCATGGTTCTTCTCTGTGCTTTCGTGGTTTGCTTTCTATGCACCCATAGCCTCTATTTATGGAAAGTGCCATTGAATTAAATAAAAGCTCCAAATGTCTGATATTGCCAGTCTGTCCTTTTGTTAGAATTCTAACTTAATGAATGATTTCTGTGATATGATAGATAGAGATATTCAAAGCCTAAATTCTCTGAAGTTAACAGCATAGTTATTATGGCACCTCAATGTTGTTACAAACCGTGAGAACTGAATCCAGTTGTTGTTGACTAACTGTTAAACGCTCTGATGGTTGTTGGTAGCTTCTGTGGAGACACATTTAACATGAAATTTTAATATTTCACCAAAAGACAACAATTTAGCATGATTTCATCAGCAAGGGGCCTTGAGATGTAATATACAGTGGTTAGTGGGGTGTTAGCCCTGTAAAAACTGAGTTGCCGGTTTGAGGCCCAGCTCTGTCTGCTGCCTGCTGTTAGTACAAATGTATGGCAGCCTTGCTTCCATAAATCTTCCACAAATGAGGGCATTTCCACTATGTAACTTAATACCATCAGTATGTAAAAGCATTAATGAATGACTCTATGAATAAATCTAGAGTGTTAAAAAAGTTCATCACATTTACCAGGTACTGTTCTATAATTGCAATTATTTTTGTCGAAATTGAGTAAATCTACTTACTGTTTGAACTTAAGAGGATAATCCATAGATTTGTTACTTTTGACAGACAAACAGTTTGGGGACGGACATCTTTTTTGGTCAGACCTACAAAAAGACAAATTTCAGAGAAAGGAATGTGGTGCTGAGAACCTTAAAGAAAGAAAATCAAAGCTGTTTTCCATGAACCTTTAACTATAAACTTTGGTAATAAAAAAATTAGATCATTCATCAACAGATGAATCTTGATACTATAAATAGTTGAATGAACCCAATTTAAGTCTCTTGATTTAACAAAGTTTCTGGCAAAATCTTATGATCACTAATTCTGGGGATAAGTAATCATAAGGTTACTAATTAATAGATGAATTTACTGTTCAAACTTTAGAGGATAATCCATAGATTTGTCGCTCTTTATGGAAACACAGCTTGGGGATGTATATCCTCCCACGTCAGACCTGTAAATAGATAGAAAAAAAAACTACATTCAGAAGAAAGAACATGGATTTAGTACCTTTGAAACTCTATCGATGCCAGTTTCTCTGGAGTTACCTAGTCTGGCAAGAATAAAACAACACAGCAACAAAAACTGGAGCTTGAAGCTAAAATGAGCAGATTATAAAATAAATAACAACATTGGACCTTTAAAATTAGATTAGATTTAATATATGCTGCAGTAAGTACAACTAATTTAACTTTATTTTTATTAACCTCATTTACTGTATGAATTAAGAGGGTATTAAATATATTAAATAGCCAATATTTAATTAGAACATATACTGGGATGACTTTTCCTGACAAATTAATAGTTTAAAACACAAACTTACTCTTTGAACTTAAGAGGATAATCCATAGATTTGTTACTTTTTATGGACAAACCGCTTGGGGATGGACATCTGTTCTGGTCAGACCTGGAAAAAGATTGGGAGAGAAGTCGGGGCTCTGTGTGTTAACGAGAAAATATAAAAAGCTTTTTTCCATGAATCTTAAATGCTAAACTTTGGTGATAAAAATAAATTAGATAATTCCACAACAGAAGAATCAAAATACTGTATTTAGTTACAGTATAGACTAGAGATAGAATGCCTTTTAATAAACTTATTCTAAGATTAATTATGCCGCAAATTAGGCAAGTTTGCTTGTAAAGCACAATTCAGTACAAAGACAATTCAAAGTGCTTTACATGAATTAAACTATAACATAGAGGGAAAATGAAATCTGAATAAAACCAAGTAAAGATAAAAACTGGATAAAAGCAGATATTAAAGAGAGTAAAACATTTGGACCAAAACCCTAAACTAATGATACCCCAGTTAACAGTCATAGGGAGTAACTTCTCCATGTTTGGTTCTAGCTCTGGACATAGTAGGCTGGAACTGGAAGACCTGAGTGGTCTGGCAGGTTGATCCACTGACAACAGTTCTGTTATGTATTGAGCTGCTGATCTATTCAGTGATTTCTAGACTAACAGAAGGATTTTAAACTGTATTCTCTGAGCTACAAGGAGCCAGTGGAAGGATTTCAGAACCAGGCTGATGTGTTCTACTTTCTTAGTTCTAGTTCGGGCAACAATGTTTTGGATCAGCTGCAGCTGTCTGATGGACTTTTTATGCAAACCTATGAAGACACTGTTGCAGTAATCAATTCTACTAAAGATAAATGCATTAATGTGTTCTATTAGATCCTGCTTGGATATTAGTCCTTTAATTCTGGAGATGCTATTCAGGTGATAAAAAGATGACTTAGTAACTGCCTTTATGTGCCTCTGAAGGTTCAGGTCTGAGTCCATCATGACACCAAGGTTTCAGTCATTATCAGTGGTTTCTAGCTGAAGCTGTGAGCAAACTCTGCATCTTTTCTCATTTGGTCCGAAGTTTATTAATTCAGAATTAGTGCTTTTTAAAATGGTGGATATTCAGTAGATAAATTTACTGTTTAAACTTTAGAGGATAATCCATAGATTTGTCACTTTTTATGGACACACAGCTTGGGGATACACATCCATCCACGTCAGACCTGAAAAAATAAAAAATAAAAGGGTCTACATTAAGAAGACAGACTTCAGAATTTTTAAAACTATATTAACACCAGTTTCTTAAGAGTTCTATAGTTTGGCAAAAGAACAAAACAAAATCAAAAATTAAAATGAAGCTTGAAGCTAAGAGAAACGGATTGGAAAATCACAACATTGGACAATTAAAATGAGATATTAAGGCTACAATAAGTACAACTAATTTAAATAATGGAGGGATTCAGAGGATGAATACATTCTAAAATGTATTGGACTGATTTTCCCTGCAAAATAAATCATTCAAAAGACAAACTTACTGTTTGAACTTCAGAGGATAATCCATTGATTTTTCACTTTTTATGGACACAGAGCTTGGGGAGGGATATCGTCCTTGGTCAGACCTGAAAAAAAAAGAATACATCTTTAAAAGGAATGAGAAGCTCATTGTCTATAAAAAAAAAAAGAAAAAAGATAGTTTCTTTACAGAGGCTTAGGCTGGGAAAAAGAAAGAAGTAAATCATCTTGGAAAAGAACTTACAGTTAAAAAAGTTACTGTTACATTATAGACAAAATGTTTTCGATGAAACTATATTGCGTGTCTCTTAATTTACAGACGGTGGCCATGAAATTAGAATACTATGAAAAGGTGTATTTATTTAAGTAACTATTGTAGCTGAGCCTTTCATTAGATGCAGATTTATATATTTCGACTCTTTATTTCTTTTTCATTTTGATTATTATTGACACCCAAAGACATAGTCAAATTCAGTATCTCCAAAAAAAATAAATAAAAACAAGCCAACACAAAAAAAGGATTCCCAGACATTTTAGCCAAACTGAAAAGTATACATGTAAAGTATGAGCATCACTCAATACTGGGATTATTGCAGAAATGCAGCACAGCATGAAATCCATCTCTGCTCAATTACAATGAAAGGCCAGGGGGCCTTTAGCTCTTCTGCACTGTCAGGTTTACTATAGCGCCTCTTCCTCTTCATGAAGGGTTTCTAGGGGGATAAAATCAGGTGAGTTTGCAGGCAAATAAAAATTAGGGATAAACTTACTGTTTGAACTTTAAAGGATAATCCATAGACCTTTCGCTTTTTATGGACAGGGAGCTTGGGGATGGACATCTTTCTCGATCAGGCCTGGAAAAATATGAGACTTTTAAAACACTACCAAAGATTGTAGAAGATCTTTGGATATGCAACTAGTGAGTAGATCAGTATTTCATTTCAACAAAGGGAAGCCCCTTTGACAGCAAAACATAACAAGACATCTAATTCTTTATACTTGTCAAGCATTGTACCTGATTTTTTAAACTCCTTATGGCTCAATAAACATGTTTGTTATTCATATTACCTCTCAGGTCTGTCCTTGTTGTCATTTGGAGATAAAAGCGCTCTCTCTTTTTCTTGAGACAAACTCATGGTGGAATTATGTTCTCACTTTCTTCCTAAAAGTAGAACAGTACAACACAGTAAAACCTTTGTTATCCACTCTGTCAGATCCTACACAGTACTGTCTTTGTTTTATTAGCCTATTTATAGGACCGAAAACCAGCTCTGTCACTTTACCAACTGGATAATGTGTAAGCATATTTTCTACCTCTTTGAAATGACATAAAATCAAATCAAAGCCTAAATTAGCCTCTTTAAGATAAAAACGGTAGGTAGAATTAATCTACTTTTAAAATCAAACAATTTCATAATAAGACCTTTAAAAGAACAACATGGCACATATTTGGAAATGCAGAAGTCTGATTGTTTAGATGTAAAAATAAGTTACGGTATGTATTTAAGGTAGTTTAATAAAATAAAAACGTAATTGATCCTTGTTATGTAAAGTAATAAAATTACATAGCGTGTATGCATAGATTTTACTATAGACTGCACAGTGGTGCAGTTGTCAACACGGTCTTATTACAGCAAGGGCCGTACTAGCTGGATTGTTTTAATATTCCTGCTGCTCTATGCAGTTATTTTAAACGTTTTTGTAAATAGTCTGTTGTTTCTGATAGATAAGCATACATAAGCATTTTTTTACACTTTCAAATTACTTTATTATGTTTTTTATTTTAATGACTAAATATTTTTATGTTAACTTTTCTTCTACTTGCTGCTGATACACACTGATACACCTAGTCTGGGACAATAAAGTTCTAGTCTACTCTATGTTTTACTTGAAATGATAGGAGATGTCAGATGTTTTTGGCTATTTCATTAATTCTCCAGGTAATTTAGTATCTTAAAAACATGAACAGAGTGAATGACGTTTATTCAACTGTGAACTGTGTGAAAAATAGTTTCTAATTTGTCAGATTAAGTTTGAACTAAAAGCTGCAGGTAAAGGATGAACTCAGACTTTAGATTGTTTTGCTGCTATTTTCTGAGACAGATAGGAGCCACAAACAGACTGACTCCTTAATTGGAAGCTAATAAACAAACATATTCATTTATTAATATTGCCACTGTGCGTTAATAGTCCAGTTAGCCATGTTTTGTCACGCAACTTTTCTTATTTTCATGCTTCTATTGTTTTTAAACCCTTACTTGCTATTCGTTTACTGTCTGTCAACAGTAGGACTGCCTGCTGATTATTCAAAAATCTTAAAAGTCTTTGTTTACTTTATTTTGTACAAGAAAAAATAACAAAAACAAACATGAATATGTGTTCAGATTAGTATAAATCATCATAAACAATCATGATGCAGCAAATTTTGTGTGGGTGAGTTTGGTTGAAAAAATATTTCATTCTGAATTTCCATGCATTACAACAAAAAAGTATAATGAATAAATCAAAACAACAAATTAAAGTACTTACTCTGTTGGTTTTCATGAGAATCACCTCAAACCAAACCAGGGTTTAAGAAAACGTCCATTCCAGGGAACATCTTCCTCGTTTGTCTCAGTCAGGCTGAAACTGGTAGCTTTAAACCGGTAGAGCAGCTCTGAGTAAGGACCTGGATTCTTTGTTCCCTAATGCTGCTGTGTTTATGTTTTCATGAACTCACTCTTGAACTTAATCTGATCAAATCCCTTGAATCTATCAAAGGAATAGTCCTAAATATTTCTGATTAAAAATATGGAGGTTTGATCTTACATAAACCTGAAGAAACAAAACAGAAAGAATGTTTTCGTGTTTTTTTTTTTTTTCAAAACATTTCCTCATTTGCTAGTTATAGAACATAATCTGCTAGGATAACCGGTTGCCAGCCTAAAATCCCCTACTCTGACTCTTAAATGTATCTATTTTCTTAATATAAGAAAATGCATGCACATGGCTGTATACTTATGCATGATGTTATATTTCAACTTTCCACAATTTTTATTTAAAAACTGATCCTCAGTTATTAGTTAGTTGGCAGGCAGGCAGGCAGGAGGCAGGCGGGCAGGTAGGTAGGTACACCATCAGAGACATGCTGCTGTTTGCTAACCATTTGTTCAAATGTGTTTAAATATTGTGAATTTCTTCTTGCTGGACTTGAAAAATTCAATTCAATTTATTTCTATAGTACTAATTCACCACACATGTCATCTAAAGGCATTTTACAGTTCACCAGATCATCCAGTCAGATTGATTCAAAGTTTTCTATCTAAGGAAAACCAGTTGATTGACTCAAATACAATCCCTCTCACTAAGCATGCTTGTAGTGACAGTGGAGAGGAAAAACTCCCTTTGAACAGGAAGAAACCTCCAGCAGAACCAGGCTCAGTGTGAGCGGCCATCTGCTGAGGCCGACTGGGGTTCAAGGAGACAGAAGCAGAGATACAAAAAGCAGCTGTAAAAGGCGGCCCCGTCCAGGAAACACACAGCCAGGCAGACGAGCTCCGAGCCAGCTCCCGTGTCAGAGGATGAAGAGAGCACATCCAGCCAGTCACAGGCAGAGTGTTACTCAATAATTGTGACTTTTTTCATTATCTGTAAAACCATTTATGATTGTCCAACAGTAAATTTCCAAGAAATGTAGAAGTAAAAGCAGTTCAGAGAAACCATGTTGTGATCCGGCACACTAAATTGATATATGATCGAATCAAAATATTTGTGATGTCAACAATTTTAATCAATTAATAGTTACAGCATATCAAAAACATCTAAAAATATATACTATATATAAAAACGTGAAAGGAAAAAAATGGGGGGTTGGCTAATGGAGCCTGTTGAGTAATTTGCAACTATGAGCTGTGTTATACATCTTGCAACAATAGTACTACACGCGCCAAGAATTTAGAGTTTTAATTAAAAAGAGCCTAATGCCCAAAAATTCAACTGATAATTAAAAATCAGTGTCACTGGAGCTTTGACTCAGCTATCCAAGTATATTTTTTAGGAATTTTAAAGATTTTTCTTCATCTTTTGACTTGTTTCCCATTGTTCCCATCTGCCTACAGGTTAGAAATAATGTTCAGTCTTTCCCACTCCTGATAACAAAGGTGCATAGATAAAAAGGAGTTTCCTTACACCAAAATAGGCCTATTTGTTTGTTTTTTATCATTGCTGTTCTGGGAACAGACCTTGATCTCAGAGGAATGCTGTTTAACTACCTGATTCTGTTGGAGGTTACTTCCAGTTAGAAGGGAGTTTTTCATCTCCACTGTCGCTACAAGCATACTTAGTGTAAGGGATTACCTTCGAGTCCATGAGTCGATGCAATCAACTGGTTTTCCTTAGATATAAAACTTTGAATCAATCTGACTGTATGATCTGGTTGAAGTGCCTTGAGATGACACGTGTTGTGAATTTGCGCTTTATAAATAGATAAAATTAACTGCAACTGAACTGTAAGTGAAGCTACCTGTAGAAAGACAGTCAAAGCTGTTACAGATTTGAAGTTGGTCAGCAGTTCATAATCTTATGAAACATTCATATAAAAGCATGTTGGGTTTTAGTTTTCTTTACTTTACTGTGTTAAACTCTTTATCTCCTTCACATATCTACAGAGCCTGATTATGCTCAAAGTGAAGGTATGTGATGACTCACACTAAAGAAACCGGTTTTAACTAAAACAATCACACTAAATCAACTGTTGAGGCCCATCCTCCAAGGCACATTCAAAATTAGAAGCATATCAATAAACTAACCGTCGTTCTTCTGGTTCACTGGATCTAATGTTTGGAGTGAGTTTTGTACTTGGCCATCTAAGTCTGACAGCTCATGTAATTTTTTTGGAGTTGGTTCATACTAAAGTCCCAGGTGCTTAAAAGCAGCAGCGCTCCAACCACAGGCTGCTCCAGTAGGAGCCCCTAGAACTGACAGAGACTCCTGGATAGGTTGTCGAAGCATTATCATAAAAATGAGTCTGGTTAACTCTGCTTTAAGCCTGTTTTTTGGCTGCCATGATCCAGTTAACTGAACATTTCCACAGGCATTTCATATATCCATTTATCTGCCTAAGCAAACAAATTGCCAAAGTGAGATTAAAAGGACCTACTGTATATTACATGCCAAAAATTTATATAAAAAATTAATTAATCAAATAAAAAAAGTGTTCATTTGTCTTTTTTTTTAAATTGCATTTAATTATTATATCAATTATTGCATTAATATAACAGTTTAACCATCCTTCCTCAAGCAGACAGACAAACATCAGAGTGAAAATAACAGCTGTAATAGATGAGAACATGTTTTTTGTTTATCTGCCCTGTTCTTGACTATAGACAGCTTTTTGCTAAAGTTAAATTATGTCCAAAATCTATCATGGACAGGCATGACTTAAGTCATTAAATGGTAAGTTTCACCTCGAATATTTATGGGCTTCTGTGGAGAGAGGGGAAAAGTTGCAAAATATGTTGTAATCATGAAGGATGCCAGAGCTTCCATTAAATGAAATCACTTCATTAGTTCATCAGAAAATTATAAAAATGTTGCAAATTTAAATTAATGCTTAAGCCCTACTATAGCACTTTTCACATTTAACTGAGAAATGTTCCTCTTTCAGGTAAAATGCTGCCCTCTGCTGGAAAGATAACAAAAATTCAGTTACAGCTATTGTCTTAAATTAACCTTGCAAGAAAAGAGATCAAGGTTTAATTTAGCAACCATCTCAACGGTCATAATGAGGATCAGAGATCAAGGTAAGATAAAAAGCATTTTATTAAAGAAATAGGTAAACACATTAAAACCTTTGATTGCAACTGGACCCTGCAATCAGATGACAAATAGATTGCAATTGGATGGGTATGGGGTATTGCAGTCTAAATAAAGAAGCCAAACGACCCCCATTCCAAATGGGTGGACCCCATCATCTGTTCCAATTTGCATGTTTTCACAACATAAACAAGCCTTTGTTGGGCTACTGTATAAAACCTCGAGCTCAACGATATTCCTGTCATTTTGAATTGAAAAAGCTTCCTGGCTGGGAAGCGAAACTTTTGAAACTCGGAAACCAAGTCCAGTGGGTTGCTTTTAATTTTTCTTTTTGGAATGAAGTTTAGATGTTCCTTTAATACTAACTAACTCCAGGATTCAGAAGCTCCAGAGCTGTTTGTTGCATTGATGCAAATAGGATAAAACTTGTTCAAAGGACCTGCATCAGCAGCAGGTTCCTCAGGTAATATTAATGTGCTTTCTACATAACACCTGTGAGTTTAAAAGCTTATTTTCCTTTAGTCAAGCCCTCATCTTCTTTAGTTCCCCTGCTTGTCAGTTTTGTTTACTTTGTATAAAACACAATGATCTCAAATATCAAATAAAAAAGGTGGGTGTGAGGAATTATGGAGGAACAGCCAATCAGCAGCTTGCACTCAGTAGCTGG